CGATCGCGTGATCGCTTCATAGACTACTGGCGCGACGCCCAGGAGGGCCGGCAGTCTAAGGATGACATCCGACACATCATTAACGCCGTATACCGTCCGGCCCGACATTACGCTATACTACACGTCCAGATGGACCACTACTCCCTAACCCTCCACGACGTGCTGACACAACTGCGCCGGTATTTCGACGCCAAACCCCGCAAACTGTTGCCAGACTTAGGCTATTATATAATGTCGGAGCTGTTGCTGGAGATCATGGAGGGGCTCGACTACCTGCACACCCGGGACCCACCTATCACTCACCGGAAGCTACGAACTGATAATATATTTATCGATCCACGTTCCGGTGCCCTGTTTGTTAAGTTGGGTAAGTTTACTCGTCCGGAACACCGGGATGTTCCCCGTGGGGCGCAGACTATGTCGGTGTCCGTTGTGTTCAATAAGAGTTCGCATAAATATTTGGCGCCTGAAGTGAAACAAAACCAAAAGTATAGCAATAAAAGCGATGTCTACTGTATGGGCGTTATTATCCAGGACATGTTCAATTTCGATATTAATAGGTTTGTGGACAATTATTATTTAGAAAATTTTATAATAATGTTATTACTACTTTGCTTACTAGTTAGCCAATATAAAAAAATTTATTAAATTGTTATTTTATTTAACTTGTTAAAATTAATTTACAGTTTAGCTTGAATATTTCTATCTATCGACTTTAAAAATGAAGTATATTTACAGATTCGGATACAACACCACGTATTTAATATTATTTTTAAAATGTTATTATATTATTATAAAATTATAATCATTACAGTTTCCATTAGACATTTTACTCTTTTAAAATTATAAAATAAAAATGCTCAGCTATTTTTACTTATTGATAAATTAATTACTTATATAATATAAGTAAATTTATAATTACAAACTTCAATATACAATTAATATATTAAATGATAACTAACTACAAAACAATTCATTTAACGTAAATGTTTTACGATGAATCATACATGCCCCAAAATTAGCAAAATTAACTTCATTAAAGAAATAAAATTTATATGTTTATTATATAATTACAGTTTGGAGCTTGGTATTATTTCCAAAACTACCTCAAAATAATAAATTATTGAGTGTATTTCTCCGACAAAAATAATTAAATAAGTTAACGCATCTATTTTAATAAAATTTAATAATAATTACAGTTTCCATGCTATTCATTATCATTAATTAAATACTCTTTGTTAATAACCTAACCTCATATTTAATTTAATTTTTCTCTCCGACAATAATAGCAACAGCACCGACACCTTAACCGGGAAGTACAGCGAACTAAACAACCTGACCATACAATTACTGAATGGTATGACTCGTAGGCGTCCCACATGTGCGGAAGTCCTACAGAACCGGAACCTCTGGTCACTACCCATAACCGCAATACTCGACCAAATTGTGGACACCATTGACGTGAACCAGTCGTATGACATAAACTCCGATTTTGTGGCAAACTTTCTGCAAACAAAATACAAGTTTAACGAAAGTATTGCACAAACACTGGCTGTTAATCATGAGGAACGGGAGGACAGGCGGTTGTCAACCATCGATGAGAATAATAGTGGTGTTAATGTTAACAACTTTACTATATTAGAGCAGTTAAGCGCCGGTGCTTTTGGGCAGACGTATAAAGTTTTGGACAGTAATACAGAAACTTATTACGCTATTAAAAAGTTTGATGTAAATGGTATGTACATTTAAAAATTTAAACTACTTAATTTATAAATTTTGAAACCTTATGATTACTTTAAATTATTAAATAATGTAAAATATATATACACTATAAAATGATATGGATGCTGTTCAGTTCAATAATTGCACGTTGAGTAACAATTTATTGTTTTTATTCTAGTTTACAGTTTAAATCAAACCAAATTAGAAAAATAATTATCACAACTTAATACAAATTTGCATTAACTATAATTATTATCAACTTTTTAATAATTCAATAGCAATCTAATAATTTTTGAATATTGTGTTTTCATACAGTATATTTTAAAACTGTAAACAAAACTAATAAATAAAATTTGCTTTAATTAATTTTAAATATTAAATTAATTGGACCTTCCACTAGTTTCGCACATTATTTTATTATAATCTATTAATATTATAACAAGCACATTTTAATGATTTAAAATGTTTATTTAGATTTTCCATAGTTTTCACTATTTTTACTACTTTTCAGATCAAAGCGATGTTAACCAACAAATACATGCCTTCAATGTATTGACTCAATTGGAACCACAATTCACGCGACAATTACTGTCCAATTGGCTCGAGTACAGCAGCATTGGCGACGACATACCGGTGCTCATGCTATACACACAATCCGAATGGTGTTTGATGTCATTAACGGAACTCATGCCTAAAATGCACGGGTATTTCGGTGTCGATGCCCAGCATCTATTGCCTCCATTGGCCTATTATATGGCATCGGAACTCCTATTAGAGATACTGGAGTGCATACAATACTTGCATACCTGTGCACCACCTATAATACACTGCAATATAAAACCTAATAACATACTGATCGCACCCGTATCTAATGGACGGTTTGTCAAATTGGCTGATATTAAGGGTCCGGGTGTAGGAAATACTGGTGGACCTACCGGTGGGGACAGGTATTTGGCACCGGAAGTCAGACACAGTGGCAAATATTCTGTAAAGTCAGATATCTATAGCACCGGGGTTTTGGTACAACAGTTGTTCAACTTTGACACCAATACTATCGAGTAATTATGTTTATACTACTAAATAGCTTGCTAAAATATAAAATCAATTTATCCTAATAAGTACTGTAAAATATCGGTCCAATTTCTCCAAGATCCAAAATTATATTTACAACATATTCATGTGCTAGTTTTAATTTATGAAAATATTATTTACAGTTTTTGAAATACATATAAAAAATTAGTATTAATTTTCAAATTATAATACCTAATAATAACATTCAGTATTTTTGATGAAATTATATATTATTATATTAATTTTTTATTAAAATCTATCTAGATTAGCAAGTGATAATGTTAATTAAATTTAAAAATAGTCCTTTATAGAAATAACTTCTGGAAAATAAATGATCTCCACTGCTAACCAAAAATCATTTAGGATTATTATAAAGTTAAATTAAAGTTTAGTTTAGCAAATATGGGACTGACTTTTTGGCACACCGGGCACACTCGGCACACTGAAAGCGAGAGAGCTTATAATTTTTAATATTATTATAAAATATTAATATTTACAGCAAATATTTACAGTTTATTTTTTAAATTAGTTTTAAACTAATAAAGGACATACTAAACTTATCTCATAAGTACCAACTAAATAATGATAGTTGCTATTGAATTGTATTTATCATGTTAATTATTTTATTTAAATATTTTATTAAAATATAGAAATATGAACAGTGAATACAAACCAATGTACGGAAAGCTATTGGAAACTACCATCAAATGCCTGAACGGCATCTCACATGTCAGGCCTACCAGCGATCAACTTCTGGAAAACTCATGGGAATGGGCCGTACCTTATGGTGCCATACGGGACGAGATTTGTGAGCACCGAGATGTCACCATACAAGATATTAACCAACAATTTATTGAGCACTTCATGCAAACAAAATACGTTATGAATGAGGAAATTCTTGCAATGAATACAAACCCTATGAACACATCTATGATAGACATGTCTATCCATGAGGCCATACCTGAAGAACCCAGCGATGAATCACTGGATGATAACATACCCACCCATGAGGTCATCCATACTATAGATTCAGTAGACACGGGAACTCCATGTGAAGAGTCCATTGAAATATCCAGAGATATAGACATCACTACAGAAACTTTAAATCAGAGTTCAGATGAGATAATCACCGAAATGTATAAATCGTCTGAAGATCTCACAGATATTGCCATTGATGTAGTGCTACCTAACGCACTGGTAGATAATGAGGACATACCTACCAATGACACTGCTCTTACACATCCAAAACCCATAGACATAACCACTGATGAGGGACTACCCATATCTATGTCCAGGGATGTGCTCATACACTCGGAACCAATAGTTATATCCCCAGATGTGGTCACAACTACTGAAAACTCTGTCGACATCTCCAGAGTAGAGGCCATACCTTATATGGATTCCGAGGAAATGGATACTCAGGTTAAGGTAGCCATAGATCGAGAGGACATTATCGACGATATCATAGCCAACCATGAATTTTTCGACCCTGATCAAGTGCTCCCTAAAAGGGAAATGGATATAACCGCTGATGAGTTTATAATACCGGTGCTGACTGAGAGACTACACGCGGAACAGTCTGTCAGTAATTATTTAGACATAGAAAAGGCGGTCACCGATGAGGACAGGGATGTGGCCATAGATAAGCTCATCGAAAGTATTGACTCCGAAATGGGAATCGATTTACAGAATAAACAGTCAATTGATGAACAAATAGATAAGATTATCGACGACCAGAATCTGCTTAATAGCTCAGTCAGTTTGACCCTGGATCAAATAATTAATATTGCACCAGGACATGTTAATGGCATACCTGATGATGATCTGGCTATTAATGAACCGATAATTACAAAGGAAGTCATAATTATAAGGGAGGAACCGATGGATGAATCGTTAGATAAGATAATAATTGATCAGAAGTTACAAACCTCTGAGTCTATGGATCAACAAATAGATTGTATATTAGATGAACAGGATTTGCTGAATAGAGAGGTCAATTTGACCCTGGATCAAATTAGTGGTGACACTGATATTGCACCAGTATTAATTAATGATAATGAATCAGTATCAGTTAATGAAATTATGGATAAGGCTATGATTGAATGGTTAACTCCAAAGGAAGTCATAATTATTAATGAGGAACCTATAGATGAATCGTTAGATAAGATAATAATTAACCACAAGTTTCTGGACGATAATGATATCGATAACAACAATACCATTGATTTATCAGTTGATAAAATAGTAGATAAGATAATTATAGAGGAACCTATACCTAGTAATGGAACGATAGACATAATAGCACCGGTAGTTTCTACTGAACTAATCACAAATAATAATGAATTAATAATTAGTGATTTGATTGATAAGTCGATGGATAATAATAATGAAGATATTGTGGAGATTCCCATTGAAAATAATAAATATAGTGATAATTTCATTGAGGTGGGACAGTTAGCTATTGGTGATTTTGGACCCGTATATAAAGTACTGCATAAAGCCTATCAGACACCAAGCACCATTAAACGAATTAAAATTATTGGTAAGCATAAATATAAACTAACAAGTTATTTTTAAAAGTACAGGCTATGTAAAACACCCCCCGATATTTTATAAAAGTTATAACTCGTATTAAATATAATAAAAATATGATTATATTTACAGTTTTAAAATAATAATTTTATAATTGGTAATATGTTTAGAAAAAAAAAGATTTTTATACTTTTTTTAACTTTTATTATAATCAGATTCAAATGACTATAAAATTTACAAACACGTACTGAGTGTGTGGTCCCAACTGGACCCTGAGCATGTGCTCAAATACCTGTGCCATTGGTGTGAATACGACGACTACAGTAGAAATCCATTCATGTTTTGGTTATACATTCAAACGGATGTATACATCATGTCATTGACGGAAGTCATACCAAAATTGAATGACTACTTCGACGCCAAACCACGCCAACTGTACCAACCCATGGCCTACTATGTGGCATCGGAACTCCTACTCGACGTACTCGAGTGCACCCACTATTTGCATACCTGTGCGCCGCCCATAACCCATGCAAACATCAAACCTAATAACATTCTCATCACATGCGGGCCTACCGTACGGTGCGTTAAATTGACTGACATTGGACTACAGGTGCCGCACAAAACTATGAATGGGGAACAGTATGACCCATATATAGCACCAGAAGTACTGTATGGACAGGTGGCTGACCCGATGTCCGACATGTATAGCATAGGAACAGTAGTCCAGGAGTTGTTTAACTTTGATATCGATATGTAATTAAAGTTTTTAAATTATTTTATAATTAGTAGTCAATAATAGCTCTCTCTCTCTCTCTCTCTCTTTCTTTCTTTCTTTCTTTCTCTTTCTCTCTCTAACAGTGTTTACAATCGTCTGAATGGGAACTATACCACAAAATACAAGAAACTAATTGAGAGCACCTGGAAGTTGCTGGACGGCACCGGTACCGCTCGACCCAGGTGTGAGTTCCTATTAAACGCCAAACAAGACTGGGCTCTACCATACCGTGTGGTCCGGGAGGCCATACCTAACATCGTGGACGTGAACCGCACTTACGATACAAACCACGAGTTTATTGAATACTTTTTGCAAACGAAATACAATTTCAACGAAAAACCGCAGCCTTTGATACAAACGATGCATAAGTTTAGCGATTTATCCATAGATGAGAAGCGACTGGAAAACCATTTTTTAGTGGACAGTATTGTGCAGATAGCACAGGGAGACTGGGGAACGGTAGTCATGGCTCGGCATAAAATTTTATTAAAAGACTATGCGATCAAACAGTATATCATAAAAGGTTTGAATATCTTTCAAAACTTTTTATTATTTTTAATCAATTTATAAATTTTACAGAAAAAGACGATTATTTTCAAAGACTACATGAGATTAAACTGTGGGCACCGTTAGCTTCACCTGAGCATATCGTACAATACCGGTGCCATTGGCTTGAATACAACAATAAACTACCTGAGCGACCCCTATACCTATACATACAAGTAGATCTGTGCTCGTACAGTTTAAAACAATTTTTACCATCAAAACACAAATATTTTACCCGGGACACTGAGTTTGAAATAAATGACCAAGATTATCTACTATCACATTATATTACTCGCAAGATATCAGAGGGAGTTAACTATCTACACACCCATATCCCTCCGATTATGCACCTGGATCTAACACCAGCAAATATATTTTTACTCGACTCATACGAGCATGATATGTTTTTGATAAAAATTGGTAACTTTGGCCTGGCTACTTATGTAGATAATGTGAGAAAATATGATCCAGTTGTTGGTACGGCTACATATACTGCACCGGAAATTTACGCTGGTAGTGGTCATGGTTTACCGGCTGATATATATAGCCTGGGTGTTATTTCACAGAAAGTTTTTAATGTTAATAACGAAATGTAAGTATATATTTGTTTCACACATTTTTCAAAAACAACAATAAACTGTAAATATTTCTTAAATTAAAGTTTAATTTAACTATTTAGTTAAACTAATTAATTTTTGGTCTCTATCAAGATATAAATTTATGTTTCAAAATTTTTTAATTCGATGTTTTGTAATTAATATTATCAATAGCTATTTAGATTAGCATTAGCTAGCTAATTTTATGTATTTACTAATATCTGATTTTTTACTATAACTAAAACTGTTAATAAATATTACTCAAATTTTCTAGTTTTTGTAATAATAATTATTATTATATACTGGGTAATATGGACACAGTTTTTTAATTTTATAAAATTAGCTTGTCATTAAAAAATAATATTATTACTGTTTATCATAAAATTAAAATAGTTTAAATTATTTTATAATAGATATTTATAAATATTTTATGCCATATACATTTTATGATACAAATACATAGTTCATTTATTAAACTTATTTTCAAATTACCTAGATTCTTAAACTTAATTATTTAATCAACAACTGTGTTTCTTATGATTTATTTAAATTTTTAAAATAATTCAAAATTTTACATTAAATCCATTAGAAAATGTGAAACTGGAGGTCACTATCAGACAATACAGGAGTTCATTGCCCGGCTAACCCATGTCCAGCCATATGAGAGGCCAGACATCTCGGAAGTACTCCAACTGCTCGGGGATATGGAAATTGATATCACATTCGTGTTGGACGACTACCACATGCCTGTCCACCGACAACACAACAGTGAGGGCACCGGTAGTTTAAATGACGATGAAACCGATGCTAATAAGAGCACCGATATGTTAGTGACGGATGTCTTAAATAAATACATTAAAAGCCAAATACAAGCCATACATACGTCAGATGACTCGTATATGAATGGCACCGGTAGTCAAGTACTGGCAATTACTGGAGGCATACCGGCGATGAAAAAATTAAGTGAATTATACATTGAAAGTGATACCAGTGCCGCACAGTTTGATAATATTGAGCTAATGGGCACTGGTCAGTTTGGTGCCGTATATAAAGTAAGGGATGTCAAGTTGGACACGTATTATGCCGTTAAAAAATATCATATTTTAGGTAGGTGATATCCAATTTAGTGAATTAATTTTTAATAAATTAAAATTTTTATAATCTTGAATATATTTAAAATAATATACAGCTATTCCATGAAAAACCATTTTAATAATATCATGAAAGCTTAGTTATCTTATTTAATAATGTAGATGTTTAGTACAGTCTGAAATGTAATTATAAAAGTTGTTAGAAATTTTATAATTTTCCAAAATCTTTATAATTTGACTAAAATTTATTAATATAAATAAACCAAAATTAAATTAATTGACTATATGAATCAATCAATTTAATAACGGGGTTTCTAGGTATGCATATACGTTGCATTTCAAAAATATGACATGAACCCTACGAAACCATTTTATAATAATTATGAAACCATAATTATATTATTTCATAAGTTACATATTAATTACAGTCTGGATTATGAGTTAGAAATATCTCATAGATAGTTGTACTAAATATTATATTATTATTTGATTGAAAATCATAAATTATATCCAGGACAATATTAAAGTTAATTAAAAATATTTTTATGCTTAACGTTAATTAGGAAATATTCACAATTTTCAAGTTATACTAATAGTTTGTTAAAAATAAACTAATTAAAAATTTAGCATCATTAAACAAAATACAACACGTGAATGGTCAAATTGCAATCCATTCCGTAATCCAAAATGTAATAACAGAATTACCGAAACTTGTACATATCACATAAATACAAAACATTTACAGTTTTCTAGTATTTTAAACTAATTTATCATGTTAAGTCTGCGAACTGTATTAGCTTAATATTTAAATCATAAAATTAAACATTTTTATTTATTTTATCGAATGCTAATTATAATTACAATCAATTAGATCTAACCAAAACTGACTTCATTTCATAGATGAACAACAACTAAACACCAAACTGATCCAGATCAAGCTATGGTCACAAATGAACCGGGATTATTTCATACAATATATCCACCATTGGTTTGCCTATGAAGCTGTCAGTCCTACCACCGGACCGGGAGCTCGTATACTAACTCTTAGCCTACAAATGGATTTATGCTGTCTATCCCTACGGACAGTATTGTCTAAAATGCGCCGAAACTTTGCGGCCAAACCTAAACGCCTGTTCCCAATACTAGGCTTTTATATGGCATCGGAACTCCTACTTGAAATCCTTGAGTGTATCCACCACTTGCATACCTGTACGCCCCCTATAATCCACCGCAACATTAAGCCCATAAACATTATGATCGCACCGACACCTGACGGACGGTTCGTTAAATTGTCGGACTTTGAGTTGTCGGTCACGAGGGGTCAGTCGCACACGGATTGGCCCGAAAAGGTAATGACATATAAATATATGGCACCCGAAGTGATAGGACGAGAACGGTATGACACGAGGGCTGACATGTATAGCGTGGGTGTTGTGGTCCAGGAGTTGTTTAACTTCGATATCAATAAGTATTTAAAGGTTTTAATTAGTATTTAATTTGAAATCATTAATAGCTCTCTCTCTCTCTCTCTCTCTCTCTCTCTCTCTCTCTCTCTCACCCACTCATAGCTACAGTACTGAGGAATTCAGTCCAAAATAC